CTTCTCTTTATTTTTGCCTCACAACTTCTTCCTTCACTTTCATTTTGTGGTAAATTAATATTTGAAAATGTCAATTATTCAATTTATAATTTATTTGTCTTATTTCTTTTTTTAATTTATGTGTATTCAAAGATTACATTTAAGATACTATAAATTATTAGACTTAATATTTAAAAAAATTTATTACAAATTTGAAAATTACGTAATATACACTATTAATTACAATAATTACTAATTTAAAATATTTTTTCAATCTAATAAGAGCCTACAAACACACTATACGTTATATTTAAAAGTACTATAAATCATAATTAAAATATATTTTTTTTAGAAAACTTTTTGTTGACTCTTGAAATTCTATCGGTGACACATGAATTTGAATAGATGGAACAATATATATTATTGAAAGTTAACAATACTATAAGTTATTCGAAAATGACGTCAATGATTTTTATAAATTATAACAAATTAGCAACTAAAATATTTTTGAAAAAACATACAAAAAATTAGTTGATGAATCAGCCACCACACCGTGGACATGTATGCTTTTTGTGATTAAAATTGAGTTTAAGGGTTATTTTGGTCATTTAAGGATTTTTCTTTAAACTTCAAGCTTTATTAATAGTGATGTATTCATTTTAGAGTTAACATGAACATTTACTACCATATAAATATATAAAATTTATTCAAATTTAAAATTTAAAACTATTTATTTAACGTCAATTAAAAATTAACTTTTAAATTAATTGTTAGCACGGGCTCTTCATCACTAGTATATAATATAATAAGCGGGAATAGAGAGGACGTTGGGGTCGACACGTGTTCCTTTTTCCTTCTGAACAAAAAAAGACTATACAGGCAGGAGGTCAACCTGTAAAAAAAAAGGGGGACCCATATTTTACTATTGAAGGATGCGTGTTTCTTTTAAATTTCTTTTACCAGACTAAATAATTGTATAAAATATTATAAATCACGATAATTAATTACTTAAATATTTAAAAGATCTGATTGACTCTTCAAATTTTACCGGTGACGCATAAATTCGGACAAATGAAATAATATATATTATTTGAAAATTTATTAGAAAGTACTATAAATTACAGTAATTAACAGCTAGAAATATTTCAAAGACAAAAAAAATTGATTGAATCTCAAAAAAATAATTTAGTACTACACGTGTTCCTTTTTCCTTCTTGCCAAAAAAAAACTTCATTATAATTTTTTTTCGTAATAACAAAATTTTTTATTAAATGTCACTTGCATTTTGCAGTAAACAACAAATAATGCAAAAAAGAGGGGAAAATTGTTGAAAAAAATATAAAAAGGGTTTAATTGTCCTTTCAATGTTTTTTTTACTGTTGACCCCCTAAATTTTTACATCTGACGCGCCTAATTTGAGTGTATTTCACGCATTTTGCCAGGTAGGATCCGAGTGTTTTTTTTGTTTAAGTTTTGGATAGTTAAAGTGCCTATTTGTGCATTATGAAAGTTGGAGGTCAAAGTTAAAATTTGAAGCCAAGTTTAGGGGTCAATATATGTATTATGCCTTTAACTTTGGGTGTGTACAAGTAGACACTTTAACTTGTATAAAATTGAACAAATAGACACATTCATCCTACATGATACCCTGCATGGCAATTTTGTGTTCTACATGGGTCCTACGTGTATTATGCCATGTAGGACACGTGTGTCTACTTGTTCAATTTCATACAAATTTAAGTTCCTACTTGTGCACACTCAAAGTTGGAGGGCATAGTTGTACTCTAACACCAAATTAATGGTCATTTTTATGTATTATGTCTTCCTATAAATTGACCCCTAAATATCCAAAAATCACTCTAAAAATGGTGAGATTGTACGTACTGCTTCCCAACTCCCTATGGAGGGTTTCATAAAGGTTCTGCAAAATATTATCTGAAAGTCATATCACCAAAATATTCATGGCTAACACACACACAAAACTGAGAAAATCACCTAATAAATTGCCCCCTAAATCCCCAAAAATCACTATAAAATGGTGAGAATGTACGTACTGCTCCCCAACTCCCTAGAGAGGGTTCCATAAAGGTTCCGCAAAAAATTCGTCTAGAAGTCATTTCACCAAAATATTCATTTGTTAATACTCATGAAAAACTAAACAAATCGCCTAATTCCTAAAAATTGCCCCCTAAATGCCTAAAAATCACTTTTAAAATTACTGAAATACACGCCTTATGTTTCCCTTATTTCCAATATCTCCTTCTATTTCTAAAAACCTCTAAAATCCCTTATTTCTTTAATGTATCCGAGCTACATATTAATGTATCTGAGCTAGTATTTAATGTATCCGAGCTACATATTATGTATCCGGTTTATTTTATAATGTATCTGAATTAGTTTTTAATGTATCCGAGCTAGTTTTTAATGTATCCGGTTTATGTTATAATGTATCCGAGATACTTTTTAATGTATCCGAGCTGCATATTATGTATCCGGTTTGTGTTACTTTTTAAGGGATTAATGTAATTACAAACTAAAGAGGGATAAATTGTAATTTCATATTAAAACTATGTGATTCCTAAAATTTACCCCTTTTAAAATGGTGAGAATGTATGTACTGCTTCCCCTTCTCCCTATAGAGGGTTCCGTAAAAAAAAATTCATTCGGAAACCATATCGCCTAAATATTAATGGACTAACACACCAAAAACTGAGAAAATCACCCAATTCCTGTAAAATTGGTCCCTAAATGCCCAAAAATCACTCTAAAAACGGTGAGACTATACATACTGCTCCCCAATTTTCTGTAGAGGGTTCTATAAAGGTTTGACAAAAAATTCTGTAATGACCTTCGAGGTCATTTTTATGTTTTTGTGTGCTTTTACTGTTTTGCCCCTTCCCGTAGCTTTCTTATAGCTTTTGTGTGGTGCTAGGATGGGTGACATGCTTCTTGAGGTAGTCGGTTGAGTTTTGTGTGAGTTTTTTCAGTTTTGATTGTCTAATGCTTAAGGAGTTGACTTTAGTCAACATTCAGAAATTTTGATCTCAGATCGAAATTCCGCCCGTCCTTAAACTCCCTACGGTATGTGAAGTCACACCATTTTTCAGACATATTTTGGATATTAAGGAGCCATTTTACATGAATTAGGCTATTTTCTCAGTTTCTCATGTGTTTTAGCTATAAATATTTTGGTGATATGGCTTCTGGTTGATTTTTTTTTGCGAAACCTTTAAGGAACCCTTCGTAGGGAGTTTGGAGAGAAGTACCTGAAGCCTCACCATTTTTGGACATATTTTGGACATTTAGGAGCCATTTTACAAGAATTAGCCATTTTACATTATGAGTTTGCCTACATGCGTATTTGGCTAATTAATATTGAGATGTGTTTTAATACAAAGGAAATAATATCAAATTTATGTATAGAAAGAGGATCAAGTAAACCCGTAGTCATCGACAAATCTTAATATATTATTTTTATAATTCTTAAAATATATCTAACACTATCTAAAAGCGCCCATGGTTAGAAGAGCTTGAATGGTACACTAGTAGAGAGCCGGTCTTAACTCTTTAACTCCATATAATAATTTAGATCGATAAACAGAACAATGAATAGTTACGATATAAAATTCTCCAAAAAAAAAAAATCAATAATTTTGTGGAAGCTTTCATCTCATCCAAATTTTAACCAATATTTCTCTTCCTAAACTGTGCTATTCATAAGGAACAGAAAAAATCACTCCCATCCACAAGCTTTAACATTTCTTCACTATATAAATTCCTCCATTTTCTTCAATATTTTCAAGTCAGAGTTGGTTGTTTTCCTCTTAATAATAAATAAATAAATCTCTCATTTTTGCTGGTTTTAAAAAAAAAAGGAAAAAATCACCAGCAAAAATGAGTCGATCAACTGTTCCTTTGCTTTGTTCGTTCTTAATCTTGTTCGCGTCCTCAGCCTCAGCCTTTAATATCACAAGAATCCTCGGTCAATATCCCGATTACAGCACTTTCAATGAACTTTTATCGAAATCTGGCTTAGCCACTGATATTAACTCAAGGGGTACAATTACACTTTTAGCTATACCAAATGGTGCAGTTGGTGATCTCACCTCGAAATCGGATGATGTTCTTAAGAGGGTGTTGGCTACACACGTCGTGTTGGATTACTACGATCCAATGAAACTCCAGAGGATGAAGGACAAAACAGCTAAAATGACAACAATGTATCAACAATCTGGTAAAGCAGCATATGATCAAGGTTTCTTGAATGTTACTGCTAGAGATGGTAGTTTCATTTTTGGTTCAGCTGTTGTTGGCGCTCAACGAAATTCAAAACTTGAAAAATCCATCATGAATCAGCCTTACAATATCTCAATTCTTGGAATTTCTCAACCTATTGTTACACCTGGTCTTGATGGAACAATGGCACCAATTTCAGCTCCACCACCAAAGGCGAATACGCCTAAGAGTTCACCAGTAGCAGAGGCCCCTGCTGAAGAGGAGGAAGCAGAGGCCCCTGCTGATGAAGAAGCAGAGGCCCCTGCTGAAGAGGAGGAAGCAGAGGCCCCTGCTCCTTCTAAGGATGCTGATGCACCGGCAGGTGCACCAGACGCTGATGCACCTCCGGCTGATCAAGCACCACCACCATCATCTGCTGCAAAATTGAAAGTTTCCTTTGGTTTATTTGTTGTTTTGGCAACAATCATTCTTGCCTAATTTAATTTCTAAATTAGGGATCATTTGAGTTGTATTATAACAAAAAAGGAAAAAAATCCCAATATTTTCGATATGACTTAATAAAACCATGATTGTAAGTAAAGTAAATCACCTTGTGTTTTTTGCAAAATCTGCACTAGTAAATTTTGCTTGATGGTTATATGATTTGTATGATTGATTTTGAATTTTTTTGAGGAAAAACGAAGATAAAATTTACAATGATCTCTCAATAATTTACTAAATTCATCGAAATTGTTCCAAAAAAATCAAAATAGCACGGTTTCATTGGCGAATCAAAATAGAAAGCTTTATTGTTCAGTCATCCTCTTGAATTTCCATATTGGTTTGTTTCCACTCGTAACAACCTCAAACATTATGCAATCTCCCTCCTTTAAGCAATTTGCATCGCGAATTTTATTCCATCCATCTACAAGATATGCAGTTTTATCACCATATGAACGTAGTATTACATTCCATGACCTCTGTCTTTCATCTCTGACAAGCAAATCACGTTTCTTGGTGTTGAAGAGACCATTTCGCGATGCAAATTCTTTAGGGACTAACTGAAATAATTTATGTATAATCAAATCAAATAGTGTATATACTTCATATTTATTTGACCTAAAAAAAAATCAAAGTTTTTTTTTTCTTAGACTTACCAAGGCATCCCTTGAGAGGCAATAGGGTCTAACAATGCATACAAAATGAGATGCTTTTCTTGATGACTTGATGTTGTGGTTTGGCTTGTCTGTTACATAATTAAATTTATACACAAGAAAATGATTCACCACATATGACAAATAGATCACTATTAAAATACGAATAACATCTAAATCATATTATAAATCATTTTATGTCGATTCTAACTGAACACATTTAACCTTTGACTAGTCGAAATATATGCTTTTAGTCCATTGATGCAAGAAGTAAGTAATACTTGATATAGTTTTTGAACTATATTATCATTAAATATGAAGTAACATTATAAGTTTAACATAACACATAGACTTATAATTAACCGGTGGAAAATATTATAACTAATAACTATGCTAAATTTATATTCGAAAGAAATCAAAAGTGCACATTTCAATTAATCGAGATTTAAACATGCTTAGGTCAATATCACATTAGATCAAAATCATTTGCATATGTTCTTTCTTACTCACTATTTCAATTATATTGATACACTAGTTACCTTGGCCATACTTATTCCAAAGATTATTAAAGGAAACTCTACTAAATAACATTGTTTCCTTTTTTTCCATCATAAATAACATTGATTAACAACATCTAGGATAAATGACAAGTAATTTTACATTAAATGTAAAAGCAAAAAAAACTACGAATCAGATAGAGTTATTATATATCAAACAAATATAAATGGACTACATTTTGAATATAAAATGTACATAAATAACAAAAAAACGTACCTTTGGATTCGTATTCGTATTTGTATTCTCTCTCACATTGTTGATTTAAATCAAATATGGAAATTTCAAATTCCATATCTCCTTCATGTCTGAACACCAAGATATCTCTCAAATGCAAATCATGTTGCTCTGCAAATTTCTCCCAACCATCTTCTAATCGTCGGCCGTTTACTTTTACTCGCCATTTTTTATCTGCAATTGTGTAGTCATATAGAGTGAAGGATAGTTAGTTATAAGAAAAATTATATACATGTCAAAATTACTTTTTATTTATACTCTCTTCGTTTTCTTTTACTTATTCATTATACATGTTTCATTTTACTTATTTTATTTTAATATTGTCGTTATTATTAAGTAATTACATAGAGTACCAGTAGATTATAATACATATCATATTAAATGATTTCTTAAAAGAAAAATGGAAAAATAAAAAATTAACAGAGGGAGTACATACTTCCTCCGATCATGTTTAATTTGTCACATCCTTGAAAATATAATTAATAAAATAATAAATTTATTATCTTACTTTTTTAATATAATAAATCAAATGTTTTAAGAAAATGACTATAGTTAATAATAAGAAAAAAATAGAAATTAATTAACCAATGATCTCTTTGTTAAACTGAACAAGTAAAAATAATATCTATTTTTTTATATAGTGAATAAATAAAAATAAATAGAAAGTAAAAATTATATTTTAAAAATATTTTTTATAAAATTTCTGACGTTGGTACTGTTTATACCTGCCCTTCTCAGTATTGCATGTTCATACTGATCATATTTCTTCACATATTTCAAGAAACCTTTAGGAATTTTCTGCAGCATCACAACAAATATGTATAAATTACATAATAATTACATATCAAAAAATATGGAATGATTTTAAAGAAATATACTTACAAGTAAGAAAATGATTATTATTCCTTGATATGTGTATTTTGCCTATCTATTAACTATTTTATCCTTTCTTGAAAGTCACAATTTGCACTCCCTTTTTAAGTATTAATTAAGGTAAACCATTTGAAAATCTAAGTTTAACTATGGGTATTCAAATAAGTTACTTTTTATCAACTTTGTTTTAAAAAATAAATTTTGATTATCCCAATAAATTTGAGAAATGACTATTTAATGATAAAGATAAAACCTTAAAATATATAATCAATTTCCTCTTGATTTAATAATTTAAATAAATAAAATAAAAATAAATTCTTAATATACTAAAAAAATAATGTATAAGAATATTCCGCTGGAGTTAAAGATTACAATTTTGTTATTTAGTACTTCTTTCACTACTAGAAGCAGAGGTTTTTTTGTTCACCGCAAATCAATTGATTTTTGTATTATAAAACATGAGTTTTTCAACTTATTTCCACAAAAAACTCATAATAAAAAACAGATTCTCATTAAATACTACAAATAACATTCTTATTTTTGTACTGGTTTTATTTAATGAAAAAGAATTTTATCAAGATCCGGATAAATACAAGAAAGTGAATATTGTATGGTAAGATTATAGAAGATTTTAAATGTTTATTTAAGAAGTCATTTATGAAATTAAGAAAGATATATGTAAGAAATATATAGTATATATTTCCTAATATATAATGGTAAGAAATACTTACAATTCCTTGTTTGAAACCAGGCAAGATGGGTTTAAAAAAGTGAGGATTCTTTGGAGAGATTTTCATGGTGGTTAAGAAATATTAATTTTGTGAGAGATAATCTCATTCAAATGCATTTTTTCTAGTACCTATTTATAGGGCCACTTCAACGGTCACAAGTTTTAAGGGTCTGTTTGGAAAATCAAATATATCAAATATATAAAAGTAGGAATATATTTAAAATTTGATGTTTACGAGTATTCATGATAATTTAAATTAATTTATATATAATAATATTTGCATTTACAGAATCGCACAGTTATTACATGATAATTATATATACATATTCAATTATTCATATTGATTTCATATAGTTTTTTTTTTTGGTTAGATAAAAATGAAGAATTAATTCAGGGAAAACTATAGAGTTGCAACGAAAGTTAGTAGTAAAATTACTATTTATGTAATAATAAATAATGGTGCACTTCAATTTCACAGTAGATCTCGTATTATTATTTCCTTCGATCTATTATATTTGTCATGTTTGCATCATATATGCAATTGAAGTTTTCATTATTTTCTTAAATTTCATATCGATGTAAACTACATATCCTCTCTTTTCTCTTTTGCTTGTGTTGTCACTATTCACACTCCATTTTAAGAAACTAAAAAGGTTCAAATTTTGTGCTTCATACGTAGTATATAAGATTTTCTAAACCATCATATAGAAATCAGAAATAATTCTTCAATGTCACAAATAATTTTTTAATTGCCTTTGCTTTTTCTTCTGAAATTATGATAAGTCATGATAGGAACAAACAACAACAAGAATTTTAAAAATGCAGCAATTAAATATTTTGATTCTTAGTATTTATTGGTATTCTACTACTATATTACTCGCATGGGTAGAGCTGTTAGTATCAACATGTCTGTTCTTAGTCATTAAAATTTTAGTGAAGGACAATTTTGACTTTTCACTTAAACTCTCTGCATACGTGTCTTCCATCTAAGGTACTTGAAAAGTCACCTAAGGTACCAATTTTCCATTTTTCTTACTCTTATATCAAGAAAGGGAAAATACATAAGTACCTTCGATCTATGCTCGAAATTTCAGAGATATATTTATACTATATTAAGGTTTTATTACTCTCCTAAATTTATTTTATAAATAAATTTTTTATCCCTTTTCAACCTACGTGGCACTATCTTTTGAGCCCAACGCGTGTTGATAATTTTTTCAAACTATCCGATTGATAGTGCCACGTAGACCAAAAAAGAAGTAAAAAATTATTTATAAAATAAGTTCAGAAAAATAATAGGATCTTAATATAATATAAACGTGTCTGTGAAATTTCGGACATAGATTGGGGGTACTTATGCATTTTCCTTATCTAGAAACTATATTAGAAGCATGGGTAGAGTTGTTGGCATCAACATGTCTGTTCTTAGTCATTAAGATTTTAGTGAAGAACAATTTTGACTTTTCACTTAAACTCGTTGTATACGTGTCTTCCATCTAAGGTACTTGAACTCGTTGTATACGTGTCTTCGCACCAAATCCTTCAATTTTCTTTAGCTCTGAACAATCATATTTTTCTAGATTTTGTTCATCAAATACCTACACTGATGCACATTAGTGGAGCTAGGATTTTTAATAAGGGATTTAAAATTTAAAGAAGTAAATTCACGAACTAATTGAAAAAGTTCAACATCTACTATATTTACATAAAAAAATAATTTTAGCCATATATAAATAATATAATATTTTCCACCGAATGGAGATGGAGTCTTATACTAATATTAGAAACTTCTATACAACATACAATATTTCCAATTATGAAGTACATATGACAAAATACATAAATAGCATTCTATAAATGTGCATAAGCAGTGCAATGTATAAACAACATATGTGTATATATTGCCAATCTTTTACTAATTGTCAACCTATCAATATTTGTGATAGTTATCAACTAATATATAATGGGTCCGTGCGTGCATGGGCAACATATGTCTAGTATTTGAAGAGAAAAGAGAAGAGTGAAAATATATATAATTAGAAATAAGTTGGTAACCTGCTATAACAGATTAATATTACTTGATTGTGCAATATAATATCTATTCATTGTCTGCACATAATTTACTAAATTCATCGAATTGTTTCAAGAAATTAAAATAGTATATAGTCATTGCGAACCCAAAATATAATAATTGCAAGATCTAAGAGGGGGTGGGGGTGTTCAATTGCTTCATTGTTGTTTTTTCTTTTCCATCATAGACAACTTCATTCATTGTTCAGTCTATCCTGTTGAATGATACTTGCAAGTTCTTCTGAAATTTTGCCTGCAAATAAAATAAAAAAAAACATTAGTGTACAAATAATATTTGTAACATTATTTGTAAGAAAAAATCAACAACATAAATACAAAAAATTTGGTCATAAGAAAACTTACCATGAAATTTCCATATTGGTTTATTTCCACCAGTAACAACCTCAAACATTATGCGATCTCCCTCCTTTAAGCAATGTGCATCGCGAATTTTTTTCCATCCATCTTTAATAATAACATAAGTATTATGTGTACGTAATGTAACATTCCACAACCTCTCGTTTTCATCTCTGATAATCAAATCGCACTTCTTGATGTTGAAGAGACCATTTGCCAATGCAAATTCTTCAGGGATTAACTGAAATAATTTATGAATAATCTAAATCAAACCGTGTATATACTTCATATTTTGACACGAAAAAAATTGAAGTTTTTTTTTTTTTTTGGACTTACCAAGGTATCGCTTACGAGGCAATAGGGACTAACAATGGTTATAAAATAAGAATGACCATGAGATTTGTGAGGAACTACTTCAAGGGGAGATGCCTCTTTTGATGAAGTGATGGAGTAGTTTGGTTTGTCTGTTACATGGTTAAAAATTAAAATTAACATAATATATAGATAATATTTTCTATCACTTAACTGACGTGACACTATTATTGTTGTTGTAAATATCACAATGAATATGAAATGAGAATTACCAAGAGGCTTGTGAGTAACAACTTCTATTGTCTGATCTTCAAAATTCTGTTTTTGAGGAAGTCCTCTCGACTTGGATTGAGAGGGCTCTGCAAGAGGCGATGACTTCATTTTTTTGTGGTTTGGTTTATCTGTTACATGATTAAAAGTTAATATAACTCACAATATTTAGATAATATTTTATATCACTTAACTGACGTGACAATATTCTGTTGTTATAATCAAACTAAATACAAAATGAAAATTACCAAAAGACTTGTGAGTAGCAACTTCTAATGTTCGTTCTTCAAATTCTTGTCTTTGATGAAGTCCCACCGATTTAGATTTAGAGGGCTCTGCAAGGAGAGATGACTTGATTTTTTTGTGGTTTGATTTGTCTGTTACATGATTAAAGTTAAAATTACTCACTACATTCAAATGATATGTACAATCACTTAACTAACGTGACAGTACATTATATTGTTGCTATAATCAAACTAAATACAAAATAAAAATTACCAAAAGACTCGTGAGTAATAACTTCTAACGGGTGATCTTCAAAATCATCTCTTTGAGAACGTTTCCTCGAATTAGATTTAGGGGGATTAGCAAGGGGAGATAGCTTGATGTTGTGGTTTGATTTGTCTGTTACATGGTTAAAAGTTAAAATCACTCACTACATTCAAATGATATGTTCAATCACTTAACAAACGTGACAATATTGTATTATTGCAAAGAGCACATAAATATAAAATGAGAATTACCAAAAGGCTTGAGAGTAATAACTTCTACTGTTCGGTCTTCAAATTCCTGTCTTTGAGGAAGCTTCCCTGACTTGGATTTAGGCTTTGCAATGGAAGATGACTTGATGTTGTTGTTTGATTTGTCTGTTGCATGGTTAAAAGTTAAATTTACTTACTACATGCAAATGCTATGTTTAATCATTTAACTGATATGACAATATTTTATTGTTTCTAAAATCATATTGAATATAAGATGAGAATTATCAAAAGACTTGTGAGTAACAACTTCTAACGTCTGAACTTCAAACTCCTGTCTTTGAGGAAGTTCCCCCGACTTGAATTTAGGGGGCTTCGTAAGGGGAGATGACTTGATGTTGTTATTTGATTTGTCTGTTACATGGTTAACAATTAAAATCACTAACTACATTCAAATGATATGTTCAATCACTTACCAAACGTGACAATATTGTATTATTTTGCAAAAATCACACTAAATATAAAATGAGAATTACCAAAAGGCGTGAGAGTAACAACTTCTACTGTTCGGTCTTCAAACTCTTGTCTTTGAGGAAGCTTCCCTGACTTGGATTTAGGCTTTGCAAGGGGAGATGATTTGATGTTGTTGTTTGATTTGTCTGTTACATGGTTAAAAGTTAAATTTACTTACTACATGCAAATGCTATGTTTAATCATTTAATTGATATGACAATATTTTATTGTTTCTAAAATCATATTGAATATAAGATGAGAATTACCAAAAGACTTGTGAGTAACAACTTCTAACGTCTGATCTTCAAACTCCTGTCTTTGAGGAAGTTCCCTCGACTTGGATTTTGGGAGATTCGCAAGGGGAGATGACTCGATGTTGTTATTTGAATTACCAAAAAGCTTGTCGATACCAACTTCTAACGTCAGATCTTCAAAATCTTGTCTTTGAGAAAGTTCCCCCGACTTGACTTTTGGGGGCTCTGCAAGGAGAGATGACTTGATGTTGTGGTTTGATTTTTCTGTAACACGATTAAAATTAAAATCACTCATAATATTTATATAATATTTCTATCACTTAACTGATGTGCCAATAGTATATTATTAAAAAAAGCACACTGAATATAAAATGAGAATTACAAAAAAGCTTGTTAGTACCAACTTCTAACGTCAGATCTTCAAAATCTTGTCTTTGAGAAAGTTCCACCGACTTGACTTTAGGGGGCTCTGCAAGGGGAGATGACTTGATGTTGTTTGATTTTTCTGTAACACAATTAAAAGTTAAAATCATACATAATATTTAGATAGTATTTCTATAACTTAATTGACGTGCCATTAGTCGATTATTAAA